GATTGTATCATCAAATCATATCAATTGAAAACTTCATCAACAATAATATATGTAGCAGCCATAAATATATGATCATTAAACCAAAATGATTAAACATTTCAACCTCGAAACTGAATACATTTATCTGAAAATCCAGATTTAACTTCTAAACTCTTAACTGTACTACCAAAGTAACTTTGCTTGACAAAACTTACCCCTTAATATGTTGCTCTTCCAGTTCTGCTTTAAGCTGATGATCAGCCAAAATTCCAGAGGAGCCCATGGATGAAAGCTTCTCCTTTAAGACAGATGCTGCACATGATATCCACTTTCAGAAAATATAGTCAAAAAATTAAGCAGGATATCACCAATGTTACAAAGACTCAGAGGTATGTAAGATACCGAGGTGTCTCGGTATCCGACACATGCATGCTTAATTTTTTATAAGTTTTCCAATATATATGGAGGATCATACCCTCATAACCACGTCTGAACATGTATCGTGCATGTGTCTCACATGGATACTTGAGGAAAAAGTAGTCCAGGTAATACAGGATATCACAGCAAAGAATATTCATAGTGATTTACAGAAAAAATATAACATAAAGTAGATAGAAACACGGAAAGGCATAGAAAACTGTACTTATTTCTAGCGAGAAAGCAAACGTACACAACATTTCAACATAAAAACCGAGCGATTTTCTCAAGAATGAAGATAAGGTGAACACATATTCTGTAAAAGCAGTGCCCAATATAAAAACATTCACTGCTGCTTCGGTCACCTCAATGAGGATATCTTTGCACAAGATTGTGCCCAGAAAGAAATCATGTCATCCTATATTGAAAGAAAATGTTCCTATAATACCTTAAGGTCCTTCACACTAGACATCCAACTATATTAAGAAATTAGACTGTCATAAATTATTTTAGAACATATTATTTTCTTCATATGCAACAAAGGACATATAGACAGATGATCAATGGAACATCCACCTGAAGATCCCCTTGCGCTTTGCAAAACTGCAAAGAGCTGTTTCCTTCCTTCCCTAGGGTAAGCAGCCCTGTTCTTCAAGTTCTCACCACCACTCATATTCTATCATAGAAAATGCATATTTGTACATCAGAACTTAACAAATAATTTATAATGCAATGACATATGTGAACAATCTTAACTGCAAAAAGCAGAGCTGTTAAGTTCAATTTTGGGTGAACTTCCAAAGCTCTGATACGTGGCAAGGGATAAACTGCTTCCCCAGCCTGCTGAGACAGAATGTGTGGGATGTCCAGTGATTCAATTGCTGCAAAGAAGACACCAAAAGGTCTTGAGTATGTGATTTCCATTTAATATAAATAGGCATGCATCTTGGCCTCCTTCCTCGCTAGAGAGTTTGTGGTAGTACTTACAAGCAGGCTCAAAAAAGTTTACTTGAGTCGAAGGTTTATTTGGATTAACTAATAATCGTGTTTTCCAAACTTGTAAAGTTCCATCCTTGGAAAAATGACAAGTAAACGCAACATTGAAAGCCAAGCAATTGATGTGATAGGCTGAGAACCCACCTGTGTACTACATGACAGAAACAGAATATTTCAACAAAGTGCCTTCTACTAATATCAACACACATGATACAGGCTTGAAAATAAGGAGAAGGTAAGAAGTGATGAAAAGGAAAAGAAAAAGAAAAATGCTCACATTCCAATCATAATAGGTCTTTCTGTTGATACATCCCAGGCAAGAAGTGTACCGCGTCTATCACCAACAAAAACCCATTCCAGGGATGGATGAAAAGCAAACGCACCGGCACCAACAAGCTTAATGGTATTATCAACTGAAGCAAACAAAACCGGAAAAAACATGATAATTAAGCATGACTGATATAATAAAATATAAAAAAGTAAATAATCAATTTTCCTCGACTTACGTTGTAGCGTATAAAGAACAGCATATGTATGAATGTTGTATGCCCGAATCAAACCTTCTGCATATGCTACGTACTTTTGTTTTCCAAAAAGGAAGTGACAGGACCCAGAAAACAAACAGCTTTTCAGTACATTCTTAATCATAAGAATGAAAATGAGCATAAGAGATATCAATAGATCAGACTGCATTAACTGCTATCTAGAGAGTTGGATATGTCATAACAGAAGATGATAGCAAAAAAGAATTAACTATTTTTTTGGGAATTCATTTCCAGCCAAGAAGAAAAGATCCATTTCAATAATCATTCTGTCAAAATTAAACGAAACAGTCATGCTCAGCATCACCATCACTACTACATTATGTATCTCATACATACTAAATGATGAAGCCAAATACCAAGAACAGATTCAAATTTCAAGTTTCACGCCTATCCTAGAAAATCCCCCAGCACTGGAACTTCTAACAATTATTAACCACTTGGAATTAGACCTAAAAAAACATAAATATCTCAAACAAATACACTAATTTACAACCATATCAGAAAGCAACAAAAGATAATAAATATGATAGCAATAAAACCTATCACTGGAAAATGATATATGTACCAGAACAGGAAGTCGAGGATGACAGGCAAGATTCACAACAGGTTTCTTCAAGTCTGTCTTTATTTTTGTAGGTGCTCTTCCACCTTCAACAGTCCCAACAACTTCATGTATGACAGTAATATTAGAAACATCATTAAACTCCCATAGTATAATATAATGATGCAAGTACAAAAAAATTCTACTAGATAACACATGGAGTAAACTAACCTGTCACACTCATTCTCTTGTGAAAACCAAAAAATACAACAGGTTGGAGAGGTGTCAAAGCAAGATGAACTTCTGTTTCAGATGAAATGTGTTCCGTCTTCTTTTCTGGTGAATGTAAAACACAAGTTTGCTCAGTGTCAAAGTCACAAGAACGTATCGTACAATCCTGCAATGTGACATTTTCAGAAAAATAAAGGTTAAGATTAGAATAAGGGAATTATAAGGAAAAAAATAGAAGGGACCCTTTCATGTAAAAACTGAAGGAGATTAAAGACACCAACCATACTCATTACCGCATTAAATCAAAATGTCAGAGGATGTGAATATTTCATGTAAATAAAGGGGTACAGTCAGTTGTGGCAATGACCTTGAGGAAAACACCAGGAATAAGCCACTGGGATCTTAATTATAATATTTGAACAATGAAACAGAAACAACAAGGTTGCTTTCTAATACACAGGTCAACAATCAATATATCTATATTGTCTGCTTGGCATCACTTTCTCGAACTTAGGAACAACCGCATGAAATATATGACCCCTAGTATACAGTATACACCACTAGCATGGATAGGTTCTAAACCATCTTAACATACAAAAGAAAATTACTCTTAGTCAGCTATCTAAAAGATCAATACCACACACTGAAAGAACACAGCCTACCTTAAAATGCCTCTACGTTCTTAAGAACAGAAATGTAAAATTCAAACTACCATACAGGATTACTCATAAAGAAACCCATGTAATGGCAGTAAAAGTCTTAAGATTGAACTAATACAAACCTTAGCATGCTCTACCATCTCCGCCAACTGATTTATTGATTGTATCAATACCAGTCTTATTATAAGTAATTCTATTCTCATGATAATCGAATGCAGTCCCCCCCATTTCGAGTTAATGATCTAAGCTAACATGAAAATTATGGAACCAACCTCAAGAATCGCAATGACAGAGTGGCCACTTGTAAGACTATAAGCCATCCGAACCACTGGCGAACCCATGTCTATAGTAGATAACTTACTTCCAGTTAAAGCATCAAATTCTGCACCCAAAAAAGATCCAAAATGATTTTTTTTCTTTTGAAGTAGATTTAACTTCAAAGTTTTTTTTTAAAAAAAAAATCCAAAACATATCCAAATTCTAAAAAAAATGACAAAGGTTGTACTGTAGCCGGCATTACCGATTATGTAAGTGCCGATGGCGACGGAAACGATAGCCTGAGTAGGATGAAAAGCTGCAGCGTGCGGCTGCAACGGTTTGAGAATACCTCTTGCGACATGGCGTAGATCCAAGTGTTGCAACGTCGTCCACTCCATCGATTCTTCTTTTCAACTCTCTTATCTCTCTCACACCTTAGGAAGAAAATTTCAAAAAAAAATGTATATGTATACCAAACTAAAGTTTAACTCTTTAAAAAAGAAAGCAACTCAGCAGTCAAAATTCAGGATCAGGAAATGAGAATTATAATAGGGAAGACAGCTGAGACCTGGATCCGATCTGAAATGCAAGTTGAGAATTGAAGGCAAATTTATAGTTAATCTGTTTACCTCTTGTTCTCTATGCGAAAAGAGAGATCATCCCTCTGAAAACGAAATGCGGGGAAAAGAAGATCAAAATAGCAAAATTAAGCTGTGAAATTTGTTGAAATTGAAGAAGAGAAAATTGGCCCGGATTGGTTGCTGGTGGTGAATTGGACTTAATGGAGGCACGAATATTTGAGCCTCATCTTTATTTACCCCTTATTATATTCATGTAGGTCTCGTTAAGTAACACTACTGTTGAGCCCATTTTTAGATCATTTGGACGGAGTTAAAGTATGCGAGACAGAGATTCAATTAGGAATGGACATGAGATCCGAACCCGACGGATTTCAACTCGATCGACCTAGGTTGAGTTATTTTAAAAAATATATATAATTTTATCTTATATATTTAAGAATAATTATAATAATATCCCTCTATATATTATTTTTTTCAATTAAGTCACTGTTTTTATTGAATAAAAATAATTTTTTTATTATTTCGAGTCAGGTTTTTAAGTTATAATGCGGGTCGTGTTCGGGTCGGGTAAAATCTTGTTTTGGCCGGGTCGGGTAGACCAAAAACCCGACCCATGCTCATCCCTAGATACAATGGGTGAGTTTTTTTTTTCAAACTCAAATCCAACCTAACAATATAATAATAAAATTTTGTTATCTAGTTATATTGTTTCCATGCGGGGAAGATAACTTGTGGCTCTTGCTCCTGCATTGTTTCATCCTAATGAAAACAGAGTGAAGCTATTTTTCTTTTTCCATCCACTAACATGCCTTTACAGCAGAAGGTGATTTTATAAGAGCCTGTCAACATTCAACACATCGGGAGATTGGATCAAATTCCTTCATCTATTGCAAAAGCCAGGATTTGAGTTGCGATGGTAGGTGTAACCGTGATTGTTGAATCCCCGGTATTGTGTAGGTATTGTCCATGGATCTATATAAGGTCTGGAAGGCAGTGATTTGACCATTGTTGAAGTGGTTCCAATATCATAGCCAGCAAACTGGTGAGGTGCATTCCGGTGGTGAAAGTTCCATTGAGGTTGATAAGAATTTAGAACGGGCCCAGCATTGGAATGATGAATGACACCTATACCTTCAGTGAAATGAACAGGTTTTCCACGACTAGAGGAAGTATTAGGGACTCTTGACCTTGATTTTTGCTTCTTTTTCACTTGTCCATCTGGATAAGAAACTTGGTAATTGTTACCCGTATTCCCAAACCTTAGCATAGAAGCTTTTCCTTGTGTCTTATCAATCTTTCCACTCTCAGGTTCAGTTGTTTTTCTCTTTTTCGTTGGTCTTGATTGATGTGAATGGTTTTGGTGTTTTGTACCTAATTATAAAAGAAGTAACATGTTATGTAAAATCCAAGTAGCTTCATAGTCAAGAGTAATGGAATTGACAGAAACGTCGTTTGCTTTAACCATCTCGCTCCCCCACATACCAACATCAGCAGACCGCTTCGTCATTCTTTTCATTGCTTTTACCAGTCTTGCAGCTTCGCCTCGTCTGTGCTTCTCAGCAAGAACATTTCTTCTTTCAACCTCATCACTCCAACACTGATATAGACAACAAAAATATAAACAAACCAAGTTTATCATTGGTTTACCCGAAAATGTTGATTTCCAGCCAAATAGGCAAATACTTACCTGTCTGTAAGTTCTCAATTTGTAAAGGTTACGACCTTTTACAAGCAAAGGAAATAATGGGGGTAATTTCTTAGTCCCCTTGCTCCATAACACTTCAACCTAATACATCAAAAAACATGGAAGTGGAAGATATTGTCATCAAGTGTGAAAACAACTCGCTGAAAAGAAAATTGCAGAAAATGAATGAATGAAAGGAACAGTTTGTCATTTACTGCTTTCACTTAGATCGCTAAAATCAACCCATTTTAAACATATCTTAGTTCTAGAAACCAAAAATATGCAGCACTTACTGGACTTCCATATTCCTGCTAAAAAGATTTAAGTGTTGGAAGTACCGTAAACGTATGCTGTTGTTTGGCTTTGCCATAGCTTTCCTTAACAACCCTTCCTGCAATAGTTCTCTTCCCCAGAAGCCTCCCATGCCTTGTTATTTTATCAAACCTGTTTCACAATCCAAACCTCGATTTACATAGCCCCAAAAATTGGCATGGAAGTGTAAGATGAGAAATAGATAAGATACAGAATATCTGCAATGAAAGATACTGCAATACTAGCTTGGATAAGGAATTACTTCTTATAGACTTTCTGAATAAACAAAACAACATCTCCTTTACAAACATCACCTGCATTATTAAGTGACAAAAACCACAAAATACTCGCTCAAATCACCAAAATGAATAAATGATAATTCAAATGGAAAAAAGAAAAAAAAAGAGGCAATTTACCAGTACAGTTGATATAAAAGGATGATCTGGGATATAAGGCTTCAGCTTTCCCATCTTTTATTCTGGGAAAAAAAGTGTCAAAACCTACAGACTTTTCAAAGTTTTAAGATACAAATTGCAACGTGGAAACAAAATATCAGATGCAACTTCAACAAAACGGTAAATAAAAATTGTGAAGAAATTACCTCCGATGCTCAAGAATTCTCTGTTGACACACTGTCTTGGTGCCTGTGATTCTGAGGCCATAATTTCGCAAATAAGCTTTGAGTGTTTTCAAGCTTAAGCTTTCTAAGTCACCTCCCTCTATGGAACACAAGGATCATTGGGATCAAAATCAACCATCTATTTTCAAAACAAAAACCTAAATTCTAAGAAGAGATAAATAACCTTTGAGAAGAGCAATGACTCGATTGCAGAGAGATTCGTCGTTCTCGGTCCGTTCATTATCGTCCGAATTGTTCACTTCCTCTTCACCTTCCTCTTCTTCTTCAGTTTCTTCTCCACTGATGATATGAAAATTAAATCAAACTTAAAGCGAAAGAAAACGAATAAATTAAAATAGAAATAGGAATTTAAATACCTAGAATTGGAAAGGTCGTTATCTTCATAGTCATCATCTTCTTCTGTTTCTATTTCGTCTTCTTCCTCAGAAGAAGAGAGGGAAATCACAGCGTGTTTGGCTTTGCCTTTCTTATCAGCCATTTGATTGATCTCCAAGTCTTCAACGGAAAAGCGAATTTTACGACTGTAAACTCACATCAAATTTCTTATTAACTAACTCGGCCGAACAATATGCATACCAATTTCGGCCCAATGACAACCTATTAGATGCCCCAAGTTATAAGAACAAAAAAAATGTTGAGGTATTTATGACTCTGATCACAACCTAAGGAATCACATGATCAATGAAAATTTTTCTTAATGACAAAAATATAAACATACATTATGAAGAAAAAAAATAAAAAATAAATTTAACTAAAAGCGGAATAGAATTTTGATCTCTAAAGCCATCGACAAAAGAGAAAAAATATTTAAAATTATTATATGTTAATTATTTTATTTTGTTTGAAAATTTTCGAGCATTTTGTTATACTATAAATTTTGATTGTTAATCATGTGCAAAAACAATGATATGGTAAGTGTCGTTTATGATTTATTTAATAAAATAGTCTTGAGGAAATAATCTTGTATTAAATTTATCCTGACTTCAAGCTTGAGCGTGAAGTAAAGTAGTGTTATGGTATATGAATACTTTGATGGCCGTACCGTACCTTACCTATTAGGAAAAGCCGTTAATTTCACTTCTCTAATTAGATTTTTTTTAATTAATTAGATATTTTATTTCAATTAATTTATTTCCTTATGATTTTAAAATGATTGGCCTTTTTTTTTTAAAGATAAGAGTAGAATAACAAAACTTCAAGTCTGGAATTCTTATCAAAATCCTATCCACCATCCATGACTCAATTCCAAACCCAAGCTGTAACAATTGATTTAAAGACGCGAAAAGGATTTTAAGGGCAATAATACTTTCCCACTACAAATTATGGAACACAGAAGAGTAGCTGATGATACAACAATCGTCTCACGAGAGCAAGACGAAATATGTCAACTTTTTCAAGTCCCTTATAACCATTTTGATATATATTGAACACATTTTTAAAAAAAAACTACAACTTTACCGAGGAAACAAACATAAAAATGACTAAAAGCTTTGTCAATGTTAAGTTGCACTTGCATGAGGCTCATGGCTTCAATCATGTGTTTTTCATTCATTCATTTTTTTTTTAATAAAGCTTGTGCCAGACGAAAGGAAATAAGCCATAACCGAAGAGCTTTGAGGTGGGACGCGGTGATTGAGACTGCAAAATTCACTCTACCACTTGTCATACTCTGGCTTAGCTACCGAAGACCTCACCTGATTCATTTATTTATGCAAACCAAGCTCAAGAAACATGTAATTCTTGGAGCTCTTTTGTAAGTTTCACGGCTTCTATTGAGCTTTTGTGAGGGTTCGGCTAGATACACCGTGCAACAATTTGACAAATCCGAGAAAACTTAGCTTCCCATCAGTGTGCCTAATCCAGTCATTAAGAACTGCATGAACAGGCACGGATGGGCTCAGTCCAAGCTCCTGAAAAACAATGTTAAAAATGCTAGAGATTAGTCTCGGTTTCTGTTGCTTCACAGCTTACAAGCATCCCAAGAAAGGGAAACAAAAGAAAGAAGTGGAAATTCCTTGCTCAATATAACATGATACTTCAAAATTTTGCAATAATAAATTTATAAAAACGAATTTTGCTAATGAACACAAGAGGGCACTTGTTTAAAGTATGGATAAATTTATATACAACTACATTTCATATAATGCTATTACTATTAACTGAACTCTTTAGAGAATGTCAAGCAAAACCCTATAAAAATATCATGAAAAAGAAACTATAATGATCCATGCTACTCCCACTCTTTTTTTTTCTTGAAGTACTTGCTTTGTGCCCGTGTCCAAAACATTTTCAAGCATACGGGTACATAATCAACCAAACCCTCCAAATGAATGGAAAATCTACGGAAAAAATGAACATATTTGTGTGGCATACATATCCATGCCCGACACTCAGATTCATGTCCAACTAATATATACCATAATATTGGGTGATTGCCTCTTGATTTTTGTGGTCGAGAAGACGAGAGTTTTAGGTGATTATGTTTTTTTTAATGGTGTTTATCACCGTTTGAGGGTATTTCGTGTTTTCATATGTAATGCGTGTTTCATTCAATAAAATATGAGGTACTCTTTTCTTCCTTCCAATGTTTGTTAACATACTTCTTAGTATGTGGACGAATACGAATGGAGTTTTTAATGATACCTCCAACTTCTATCAAAAAAATATATATACCATAATAAATATCATCATCACTAGTAGTTGGAAACATTTACCACAAATAAAAGAGAATTAAATGCGGCTTAAAAGCCCATTTAAGGGAAATAAAGGCTTCTTGAATCACTCTTTTTTTTATCATCAACATTCACAGTAACTCAATTCTGCAAGAAATTTTATACGGACTGCACAACTCTCTTAATTACAATTGATGCTGACTAGAAAGAAAGTAATAATTTTTTAATCTTTAATCTCAACAATATTTGTTCTCTCCCTTCTTTCAATATTTCTTAACAATGAAGTGTCATAACATGTGTAGATCAAGAATCAGTTCATAACAAAGTCAAAGGGCAAATCATTTTCTAAAATAGGTGAAAATTGATGTATGATTCTTGTAAAGGACCAAAACATAAATGCCATAAGTACGACTCATTAAGTTTTACATGCCTGTCAACCTACCCACATCTTCTATATAATGTGAGATATGTTGATTAATAGGAATTAAATAATCATCCAAATGAGGTATAGATGCAAGTATCCTGGGTGATGCAAGATAAGATCAACATACCGAAGCTAGCTCTTCGATGACAATAGGTCTATTTCCATCCTTCTCAAAGAGTTCATAAGCACAACGTGCATGTTGTTCCCACCGATCAAGAGCCTCAAGCTGATGCACACTTAATGCAGCTGCACAGAATTCATTAAAGTCCATCCGTCTGTATTGAAGTGCATTTAGCTACCACAAATGGAAAAAGGGTACACAATTAGAGATTCAGACCACCAATTAAATTTTATATACATTTCCTCAACCCCCCTCCCCCCCCCCAAAAAAAAAAAAAGATGAAGCACCTACTGATGCAAGAAACTCAGGGATGCGAGAATCCTTCATGGCATCTGTTGCATTTTTCATCAGAACCTGACCAGAGCAATAGAACTAAATAACCACTCACAAGAAACTGCTGAAAATTTTCAAGATTGGGTGTGTATCTGGGGTTTGGGGGGAAGGGAACCAACCGCTTTAATATTTTCTAAGCTTATAGTGCCATTTTTATTTGGTTCAAATAGTTGAAACTGCTCCTTCAAATAAAATAGCTCATCTGCAGTCAAAGTTTTACACAGGGCCTGCAAAAATACCAAGGAAAGGAAAATAAGCAAATCAAACAGTAAATCCCATGCAGAATGAGGGAAAAGTTTACTATCAAAAAATGGGAAACCTATTAGGGGTAACTGGAGAAGGCTTCAAGCAATAAAAACATCTACCAGTAATAAAATAAGCAAATTGATATCTAATAGACGTACTACATGAAGTCTAATGTTAACACTAAAGAGTGATATAAAATAGAATAATGTTGATATATATCACCATATACATACCCTTAACGCAGCCTTCCGAAGAGATGAAGAGCGCAGGTAAGCCTTCAAGAGTTTGAATATCTGTATATCCAAGGGCACTTTTACATCATTACACGTTTTTATCCAGGGATGACCTGTACCAAGAAACTGTGATTAAAATTTCAAGAACATAAGAATGATGAGTATAACAGAAGATGAGGCACTCACTCAAGGCTTGGGAAGCAGTCAATCTTTTCCTTGGGTCCTTATTCAGTAAGCACTTCACAAAATCCCTAGCCTCAGCGGATAGAGATGGCCAAGGTGCTTCGTCAAAACTTGGATCAGCTTTTAGAACAGCTCGAAAAATCCCAGACTCTGTTCGTGCCCAAAATGGACGACTACCGCACAAAAGAATATAAGCAATCACACCTATACTCCAGACATCTGCTTCTGTACTGTAAGACCTATGTAGAACTTCTGGTGCTACATAGTATGCACTACCAACAATGTCATTAAGCCTTTCATCTGAAATGGAAAAAGAAATCACAAACAAGTTAATCAAATAACTAAAGTAGTATAGCTTAAGCAATAAAAATTTGAGTACAAACCTGGTTTCACAAAATCAGACAAGCCAAAGTCTATGGCCTTCAAATGTGAACTTTCATCCTTTGACGTAAACAAGAAGTTCTAATACACAAAATAGCTAAATCAGATAATATTATGCAGGCAAATTTTTATTATATAAATATTAAACTCTTGTGCTGCTAAAAGGATGAAAATAAAATATACTAGAAGATACTAGAATGGAGCACAACCAAGAAAATAAGCAGTAGCTCTTTGGCTATTCTTTGGTGACTGGCTGCAGAACCAGAATATATTTAGCCCAGTTATCCTCAATGAAAACCTTACATAAACCTCAGAAATCTTATATTGGACCCCAAAACCAGTTCAATACCACTCAGTAAACAATATCAGAAACCTTATCAGAACTGGAATGAAATTAACCTCAGGTTTAAGATCCCGGTGCACAACCCCCTGAAGATGGCAGAAGGCAACAACATTAAGTATCTGAACCATCACAGCTTTTGCATCATCCTCAGTGTATTTTCCACCCCTGCATGAATAGAAGCATTCATTTCATAAATAATCAAATCCGAAGTTCATTCATCCTCAAACTCCTATATTGGACTCAGAAGCAGCTATTATTAGAAGAAATACCTTGAAAGAATTCTGTCCAAGAGCTCCCCTCCTTCACATAACCTGAAAGACACATGGTAACTAATTAGAACATACCGAAAGAATACACATAATCATCGTCAAACCAAATGATCCAAGACACAACAAACCCAAAATTGAGTTCATGTTTTCAAATGGTACTTACTCCATCACTATGTAGACATTATCATGGTCCTCATAGGCATCGTAGAATTGTACTAAATTGCTATGTCCAGAAAGAGCTCTTAATATTTTTACCTCCCTTCTAACATCTTCAATGGCAATTGCGGTGGTCATCTGTCAACCAAACAAACAAAATCAACAATCACAACATGTCAGTTCAAGGAATAAAAAAAGGATACTCTCCGGAAATAAATATGTAGAAGACAGTGCATTCCAAACATAACTCCGTAAGTTGTACATTTATAATTTTGAGCTATGATCATTTCTATACTCTGTTAAACAATTTCAGTAAACTTAACATTTAAATTTAGTTTATAAAATCCTTCGAAGTACTTCTCAACGGATCCCATTACTTCAATGTCAAAGGTTTAAATTCAAACCCATAAACACAAAAAGGGAAAAGTTCTGAAATTAAAATAAAGTATATAAAAACAAAAATTAAAATGAAACCTTCGCTTTAGGTATAACTTTAACGGCAACTTGTTGTCCTTTAAGCTCTCCTTTCTTAAACTTCGCCGCACAGGTATAACCGAAATGGCCTCTTCCTACTTCGTCTCCGATCTCATATTTGCTCCCAAAGTGCTTCGAGAACCCGAAGCTCTTATCCAGTCCAGTACCGGTTGCTCCCGCCTCCGCCTCGCTTCCTTCTGGAATCGCGGCCTCATTAGGCTTCACAGACCCGTGCCTCCGAGCAAGAACGGCCTTAATGTGCTTAGCCGGAGACGGCGGAGGGAACGGCCTCCTGAAAAACCGTTTCGGAGTCGAATTGGTCGAAGATCTCGCCGGGGACTTCTTGGAAAACAAGTAATGAGCTGGACTGGGACTGTAAAACGGGAAAAACGGCGATTTCTTGCCTTCATTGTTGGAAATTGAGCTTTCCTTTTCTTCTACTTCTTCTTTACCTTGATCTTCCTTCGGGTTCTGGTCTTGGTTACGGTCTACTCCATCGGGTAAGGGAGAAGCCGGAATAGAGTTAGACTTACGGTGGATATCGTTATTCTGCGGAGAGATATGGGTATTTCTAGAATCAGGAGGAGAAAACGAAGGATTTGAGGAGGGTTTGGAAGTGCAAAGACCCATTGAAGTGTAAACCTATTTCTCTCTTTCCCCCAGAGAGTAGGATTTTGAATCTCTCCACAAAGCCTTAAACCATTTCAAAGAAGTAAAAAAATTGAACTGAAAAAGAAAAGAATTATATTAATTATTCCCCTTTGGAAAACTGAAGCTTTTCTCGTCTATGGTGTTTGAAAGTGCTTATTGGAGAGAGAAAGGATCCCCATATGATGATTAAAACGAAACGACGAGGCCTTAACTTTTTCGCTCATTAATAATTAATTAAAACAGTATTTTTTTATTTATACATATCTGATTCAGTATTTTTTTTATTCGTCATAAATATAATTATAGATTATATGAGATAATTGATATTGGATTGGTCCAAATTTTGTATATACTGAATGTAATTATTATATTATTCAATTCAACGTTAAATTTATTAAAAATGTATTTCATTAATTATATAAAGCTTTTTTACTTTTCAAAAATATCAACTCGGCACTCTTTAATTAAAATGTAAATTAATATTATATTCAATGCAATATTTACTTTTATATACTAATATATTTTAGAAAGTAAATTTAGAACATTGGGAAAATCCTTTTAAATCTGTTGTGGTTAGTATGTTATCTATTAATTGAAAAAGACGGGTTAGCTTTTTGTGGGGCCACTCCAGTGAATTACGACATGGACGATTTGCCACGTGGTGCAATCCTGGGGCAGTTGTTATTTTTTTTTTGGAGCATTAGGAGGGCGGTTGTTAATTAATTAGTTTGCTTTCAGCTTAATACGAAGTAATTTAGTGACGAAATTTCGTGGTGCAGGTTTTCGCTTTCGGTGCTAATTTGCATACTCTTGTGGTGGGGAAAATATCTATCGAATCGAAATCAAATTATAATATTTGAATGATTTATATAATATAAATCTTAAAATTGTAATTGTTTAAATTAATTGTATTTTTATTTATATTTAAAATTTTAATTTTATAATATGATACAAACGGTTTATATTTTAAAGAATACAAGTGTAAGATGAATTTAAAATTTTATCAAATTAATATAAAAATAAAAATAAGTGATCTCAGTAGTAAAAAGGAGTATTGTTAATATAAATATTTAGTGTTTTAGCAGTTATGTCTGCATAGTATGTGTACATTATAAATTACTAAGAAAAATTATAAATGTGTCCTTATAATTATGTCAAATTATTCAAAAAATAGTTGACTAAGGTGTATATATTTTAAATAATATAATTTACTGTTTATTTATAATTTTTAATGTTTAATTTATTATCAATTAATTTAAATATTATAAAAATAAAATAGTTTCCGAATTTAAATTATTTTATTAAAAAAATTAAAAACGTTTGGTTCTGTTAAATTAATTGTATGTTAATATAAATTATAGATATAGGAAAAAGATAGATATCTGGTATTGATTTTATTCTGGGTTTTTAAATTATTGATTAAGAAAGTGTATATGCATTAAGAAACTTCTCTCTACTTTACTTATTTTTTTCTTTGAAATCGATTAATTATATAATATTTATTTTCCCCTTACGACATAAGCTAATGTTATTAATCAACATGGGATCCATTTTTCTCATGCTCAAACAAAAAATCCTAACAAGAAAATGAGTTGGAGAGATCCAAAATTTCCATCTCCTATCACACATTTCGTCAGACTTTTATCAGTCCCGAATAGCTCAATATTACTGAAAAATGCATTTTGTCACATTATATTTTAAAATATTCAAAAAGTTATTATAAAAACATTTAAAATAATAAAAATATTTAATTTTACATTTACTAAAAATTCTCTGATTACGAAATTTGAATATGTAAAATCTTGTCCTGAATCATGAACTACGGTGGCCCACAAACTTAGGTGATGGACAGACCTACATAATTAATATCCTTTGTGTGTTCAATTTATTTGTAGCACACCAAAATTAAATAGTAGGTTTTAATTAATTAAGACAGCTCACGCCCATTTCAAGTAGTGGGATAAATTTATTAGGTCTATTTGTGTTTTTTTCAACTTTTAATTAAATCTATTCCCTAAAACTGTCTATAAGCACCAATTTTTTTTGTCGCCGATGAAGAATTTAATTTAATAATAATTTATGCATATCTCTCCCACTTAATTAATAGGGTTGTTTTTTTTAATAAAAAATGATGGAATTTGTCAATAAATTTGAATAAAATCGCTGGTAAAGGAATAAAATAATAGTGAAAAGTAGGCTGCAATTACATATTTCTTGCTGTAGAAGAAAAAGACGTGAGTTATATATATAATGTTCATGCATGAAGCATGTGCCTCACTACATAACGGTAAAACGAATCAATTAACAAGCACACATAAATTGTTGGTAATGAAATGAGGTGAGAAAAATTATAAAAATAAGTCATGTAAGAAATGGCAAAAGTGCACACATAATATAATTGAGGGAAAAATCATTTATTGCATCTAAGATTTTGTTTTTTCGATCAGAACGATATTTATAGTGTTTGAGGAGGACGTGTGGACAACATGATATCTTTTCTATCTATGTACATGACTTGTCAGCTCTGCACCATTGGTGGGTGTGAAAATAGTGATGATGTTGTTGGTGTCATGCACAAGTGACCCAACTTAGCGTGGAGGCACACGTTTAGCAAACGAAAGTTTGGACACACAAGAACTATATACAATATTAATGTCGAGCCGTAATTAAGGAAGAAGAAGAATAAGATGCACCATCGGTGGACGCGAAAATGGTGATGTCATTGTTGTGTCATGCACGGGCGGTCTAACTAACATGGAGTCACGGGTTTGACAGGCGAAAGCCAGGAAACAGGAGTCATGCACATAGTGTTAATGTTGAGAAGAAATGGAGGAAGAAGAAGACAATCACGTAGAACGGGATGACACCATGCAATCATATCGTCTTCCCCGAGGTCGCCATACAATCCCATCGTTTTCCTAACCACTGTAAATATCGTCTCAGTTGAGAAAACAAAGTCTCGGGTGCAACACATGGGAAATTCTTTTTCTCAACTTCATTATTTGGGTAGTTTTGCCTTGCAAAATTATTGTGACAATGATTTGGAAAAAAAGAACTCATATGAGTGTTAAAAAAATTATCTTTTTCAATTAAGGTAAAATGAACAGTATCAGATAAGTTGGCAAGATCACTTAACGTCTTCATGAAATCATCGGACCACCTGGCATTTTCAACATGAAAGTCGGAGGAAGAACCAACTTCTTCAATTCTGTTCATTTGAAGGCTGATGATTTTTGTAGAGATAACCTTCTTATATGACTCCTAAATTTTTTACCGTCGTCCACCTTACTTATCTCAACTAGAATTATGCAAGCTTTAATCAAAGTTGAAATCTTTGCTTTAATGGCCGATGACTTGAAGAAATAATTACTCTTTTAATTCTTCGTATCTTTATTCATTTTTATCCCTATATATTTTCTTTTATTCTATTTCGACCTTAAATAGATTATATGTTTGGTGTATATTAATTCCAAACAAATTTCATGCTCTATAGTAATTCCAATTAAATTACATGCTCTATAGTAATTCCAATTAAATTACATGCTTACATAGTTTCGAGAGCTAAAACGTACTTTGGAACCCTATCATGCTAGCTATTGTTTTAGTGTTCTTTTCATAGGATATTGATTTCTAGAAGAAATCCTTCATTGTTACCTTAAACCACTCACCCATGTGATCCGATAGTGTTGAAAGATTTTCGATAAGGGTTTGGATATTTTTTATGGCTTCTCAATAAATTAAAATCAAAGTTAAAAATCAAAAGAATCGCTGGATGATGATTCGGTTGATATATATATATGCGTCTGCTACGTTTGACGAGTACCGCTGAGTATCATTAACGATGAGCACCATTAATTTAATTTATAAAAATTTAAAATTTTAAAAGACTCAACGTATAATTATAAATTAATTAAAAATATAAAGATAAATCATTTAAAATAAAACATTAATTATATTATTTTCCATAATCTCTTTTGGGTAAATTTCATTTTTGATACCCAATGTTTATAAATTCTATCAATTTGATCATAATTTTAATTCAATTTAATAAATTTAATCTCTAATTAGGTGGTGATAATGTCACTACCAGATTGAAGGATATTTTATTAATTTTAATTATTTAATTAATTTTATTTTATATTCAATCAAGTGATGACAAGTGTCACCACCTTATTTGATAAGCAAAACAATTGGATGACTTGATTGACAAAATTTTAAAAATGGTGGTCAAAATGAAAGGGGTAATAGTTAGGTGATCAGTGTTATAATTTATCCAAAAAAGATTATGAAAAATAATTTAATTAATATTTATTTTAGATAATTTACCTGTAGATTTATAAACAATTTATAATTATATGTTGAGTCTTTTATAATTTTAAATTTTTATAAATTAAATTAATGGTACTCATCGTTAGTGGTGCTCGTCGAGCATTGTAGATTTTTCCTATATATAAACTTATAGTACGTATTTAATTGGTGAAATATAATATTGTTAGTATAATATTATATTCCTTCCCTTATAAAATTTGATAAGTATATGACATCCACATTAATACAATCCATTAACTCATTTCCCATGTAATTTTCTCCGATAATTCCATGAAATCTTTGGTGATAAATCCCTTTGCAATAGATGCATTCTTTTTTATATAAATAAACGAGGCCATTTTTTATTTCTTAATTTTCTTTCTGTTAATAAATTACTTGATTCTTCATTTCATTTCAAAGGGAAAAAAGTAGTCTATTTCATTATTTTGCTGCCCACTCGAAGCATATGATCATAATATATTATTCAGCTCCCCCACCATGTTTTGTTCTTTATTTTCTTCACCATCTGTCGACTAATTATTGATGGTAGAAGTCTATTGATTAATATAGAATCTAGGAATAAATAGTTCCACGAGCTAACATTAAGCTAGAATATCTATGAATTTAGGGTTTAATCCATACTATTATATAGTAGATATGGAGGCCTAGTGGATTCATGAATTCTTACTTTAAACATTCAATTGATTATGATAAATTTATAAGAACTAATTTAGTTATTGACGAATATTTGATGTACATATAATGTATAGTTTTATACATCATTTATAATTAAGAAAAATGAAAATTAAGTTGTAGTTTAATTGATTAAGGTCAAATTGGGGTTGAGGAATTAATTAT